CGGACGGCGCGGAGAAGGCGGCGGAGAAGGCGAAGCCCGCTAAGGCGGAGGAGGCCAAGGGGAAAGCGGTGAAGGCCGAGGAGGCCGCGGAGGAGGTCGGTGCGGCACGGCACCCCGGCCTCGCGTTGCTTGGGCGATCGCGTGGGGCAGCCAAATTAACCAGGTCTTCAAAAACCTGGTTACAGCAGGAAGTCTGGTGTTTGTACCGTGTCTTAACCTGATGCAGCTTCTGTAACCTGAATTAGTGATGGGCCCTGTGCATCTCTCGCAAAGCTTGTCTTTGCTGAAAACTGCACCTATGCTGCTACATTTTCTCCAAATATTACAGCACTGCAATAACGCATGAATGCTTTAAAATGTGCCATTCACTAACACTGCATGTGTTCATTCAGTGCCCTGAACCAAGTGGTTGTTCGGTCTTAAATGTAGTTGGTCTGAGACTAGTTAATGCAGCGGTCGTAACTCTGTTTTTATAAACTTAGGGGCCACCAAAGTATACAAAATCAATTTTAAAGAAGGGTGATAAAACCAACTTTCCGAAGAAAGGAGACACTGTTCATTGCTGGTATACAGGAAAACTGCAGGATGGAACAGTCTTCGATACCAATATTCAAACAAGTAAGGTCCTGTGTATACTGTTGGGCTTTTCTTGCAAATGCACATAGAGGAGATTAGCTGGAATCATTAAGCAGCCTTGGGCAAGCCTTTGCTTCTGGAAGGTGTGCATGGCGGGAGTCCTGACAAACTGCTTTTGCCATCGTGTTGTTGAGCTGACTGGGGCTGTCCCTGCAGTCTGCCCCTGGAGCCCGATTTTCCATGAGGGAATGCAGGGCAGTATTTTAGGATTGGCTGGTGTCAAGTGACAGTGCTGTATCTTGCCAGACCTCATGTTTGGCATTCTCCAGGCCATAGATAATGTGAAATGCGGGGATTTAATGAGTACTGAAACTACTTCAGAGGAAAGAGAGTTCCTGCTCAGGGAGCTTCCCTTATCTGTGGAACTCGAGCACCAACAGTGGAGTTAACTTGTCTAAATAGACACATCTTGTTACATTATTCTGTAATAAACCCTTAAACATGGAGGCACTGGAACGAGCGTGATTTCAAGTAGTCTGGTGTACCACATCTACTGTGGAGAAGTATGCTGGTATTTTTGTGACAGTTTCTAGATCAGAGGATTTAGGTACATGAAATTCTGAAATACTAGAAACGCTTTTCCAGCAGTGATGTCCAACGCTGAGAGGAACAGCAGGGCTGTCACTGAAATACTGTCTGTGATTCATCATACTTGTTCCATGATGATGTATGTTCCCTATTGACTTTTTTTGCTTCATTAATGTGTTTATGACTTATACCATCAACTTCAGTAATTCAGAAATGAGTCTTTGAGGTTCACTGGATCAGTATCTGAAAGATGCTCATCAACTTTAGCTCTTGGTGCAACTGGAACATTTAATGATGTTTTTAGTGCACAGCACTTAATTTTCCCCTAAAAATCTGACAGTGGGCTAAAAAGAATATTATAAGAACAGATATTTATATAAAGCATGATCATAATAGTAATTTTAGACAGAAGTATGGTATGTGCTGGTGTGACGTTAAACCAAATGAATATAAATCTGTCTTTCAGGTTCAAAGAAGAAAAAAGCAGCCAAACCTTTAAGTTTCAAAGTTGGCGTAGGAAAAGTAATCAGAGGTGTAAGTAAACCATTAATGACTCCCTCAGAATCCAAAAAGTTTTCATTCTGCAGGATTTTTGACCGGGGTGCAAATTTTGAGCTGCTGTTCTTGTTTCTTGTGGAGGTAAAAAGGCAAGTTGAAAGCATTCATATCCACAGGATGAGGTATTTATTCTTTACGGATGCGTTCATCCATCTGCAGTGTCATTCCTTTCATTAAGTAGTGTGTGGAAAACAGTGTAACAACTACGTGTTCCTCAGGACAAGCACAGCCTCTTGCGCATGTCTGTCTAGTGCTTTGCACAATAGACAAGATTACTGGGTTCCCGGGGCTCCATTGATCACTGTATGCATTCGGTGTGCTTTAGTCTGTCAGAAGATTGTTCTCTCTCAGCATCTTTTTGGCATTTGCCTTGGTGCCTCTTCGTGCGTAGTTCAGTTCATCCGTTAACTCTGAACTGGATGCTGAAACTCCAAATTCCAGTTGCTGTCACGCGCTGAAATGAGTTGCAGTTTTGATGCTGTAACTCCTCTGCTCTGTCTGGCACCGAGTGTTGCAGTAGTGCAGGTGGAAGCTGCGTGAGGGGAGTATCTAGGTAGATTAAAAGCACTCGGTAGAAGAATCGAGTGATCTGCACACCCGTCTGCTTGCTTACAGCTTGAAGTCACAGAGAGTGGTGTGAGCTTGGTGTGTTTGGGAGATACCAGCTTACGTGCAAAGCAAATGAGGTGCTTAACTCTGTCTCGCTGCTGCTGAGCCAACAGTGAAATTGGTGACTGTCTGCACAAGATAAGAACGCAAGAAGGATCTTATGCTTACCTGACTTTATAAAACAAGACCAACCCAACCCAGGCCAGCATAATCTTCCATGCTGCTGCTATGCAGGAAGAAGGCCTTTATAGGTGACTGGATTGGAACCGGGAAGGGGAAAATGTCCCTGGGCTTGTGGCCAGTACTGCAGAAGCAGCAGCCGCCTGCGTTTTTCTTTAGTCTCTTGGTGTAGCACTTCGGTGTTTGTGTGGGTGCCAGATATCTTCCTTAAGCAGTTACGAGGCATGAGCCGCAGCTGTTCATTGTGAAACGTTGATACGGTGCTGAGTGCCAGCTTTGGGCAGCGCGAGCGGGTCTTGAAGAGGGACAAGCACTGAAATAAAATTAGTCTTTAAGCATGAGCCTTAAACAAACGCTAATCCATTGATACTGCAGAATGGTAGGGAAACGTGAGGCAGAGGGAGACGAACCCCTTGGTACCATACGTGTGGTGGTCTGCTGTGAAATGCGCAAGTACAGTACAGGCTAATGTGGGAGCAGGGAACATCAGCCAAGGGGCAGTGTTTCCATGAGTAAAAAGAATGTGAAACTACCGCACGGGGTACATGCCGGGGTGCGCGTGCTGGAGAGAATGGTGTGGTATTGCGCAGGTATTCTTAGGAGCAAATTGGAAAAGCGTATGAAATGCACTTTTTCTTAAGCTCTGTAAGACTGCTGTGTGCTTTCATTGTTTGTTTGAATTTGTTTTGTTTTTCTATTTTTTCTTTTTTTTTTTTTTTTAATTTAGTGGGATGAAGCTCTTTTAACAATGAGTAAAGGAGAGAAAGCTCAACTGGAAATTGAACCTGAGTGGGCATATGGCAAGAAAGGGCAGCCTGATGCTAAGTATCCTTCTGCAATCAGTTACTCATTAAGTAACTTGGAAATGCTTGGTGGAATAAAGTGCTTTATGGACAGGGATATAATGGGGCGAGCATTCCCTTGTTACTCATAGCAGGCTTAGAATGTTAACAAATATAAAAAAACCTCAGTGAATGTAATGGATGGACGCAATTGCCTATTTGTTTTGAAGAAAAGCTCCTGTAGGGCGTACTGCAGAGGAGAACTTGATACTGTTTTCTGCCTGCTTTTTTACTCTAGCTGCTTCCAAGTGCTTATTCCCGCAGCACGGATGGGGATGCTAACCAGCGTAGTTGGGAAGTGGGTGAAAAGTTACCTGCTGCAACTGTGGAGACAGCAGTTAAATCTTGGCTAGAAGAACCAGTTCTGGGAGACAACTGAAATACGGGATCAGGCGAGTGATCCTGCAGCATGTCTTACACAGTCACGTTTCTTTTTTACCAGCGCTTCCGGAGGAGGGGAAGTGATTGTTCTCTCTTGCTCGAATCCTATGTCATGATAACTTTAAAGGACTGTCTAGAAATTCTCCTTCCCTCTGTGGTATAGTAGGACAGTCTAACCTCCTCCCAGAGGAAGACCAGTGACGGTGTCCCACAAATAGAGACAATGCTTAGGCAGTCCAGGTAGGACCCAGCTGCTCATCTTCAGAGGGATGGGAATAATGAGAAGCATGTCTTAATAAAGGCGTACCTGCAGAGCTGGTACTGAATGTCTCGCGACAGCTCACGTTAGACAGCAGCTGTGGTTCATACTAAATCCAAGATGGTAAAAGGGGTCAGTGAAATACAAACCTGACCCCTGAGGAACAGGACAACAGGTGGTAAGTCACTTAACAGTGATTGTGTTTGTTAACTGCCTGGGGTTTGTTTTGTTCTTTTTTTTTTTTTAAAGCTTCCTTAACTTTTGTAAACAGGATTCCACCAAATGCAAAACTTTTCTTTGAAGTGGAACTGGTGGATATCGAATGAAGTGAAGAGTTTCCTTCGCTGCTGGGAATCCATTTACGATGAAGAAAGCTTCTGACAACTGCAGTTTTGCTCTTGTAACTTCAGGATATAGTTACAACTGTGGCCTTGTATTGAAATCAAGTTTGTTTTCCCTGCCCCCCAACTGCTGTACAGTAACATACCACTAAAGCAAACATAGTTTATACATGCAAGTGACTTTGCTTTTTTGTGTGTATGATCACCTTAAAACTTCTTTCTCTTACTATGGGGCAAAACGGCACAGATCTCCAGCAAACTGTTAAAGGAGACGCAGCCCCATCGGGAACTGCCACGACTGTTTTTATTAGCCCTTGCCGTACTGACTGACCTGCGACCGAAAGACATTTACTTCCATACCTAGCTCAAGTCTTCAGCAATGCGTTTCCCTTTCAGCTTTATCTTCTCTGTAGCTGCTGAGTTTTACAACAGCACTCACCCAACAATTTTAGTTAACCTAAAGAGGAAAAAATTTACATTTATATTCCAGGCACTAAATTTCTCCTTTAAAGGTGTTCTATGGAAGTGTCAGGCATGGTGCCCACCCCATTCTAGAGGAGAGCTGTACGTACCACAAATGTTCCTGAGGTGTTCCTGTGCCGCAGCCACAGACGTACGTTTGAACAAGACAGGTGTTGGACTGAGACTATGGCGTTCTTACTCCTGGCTTGAATGAGGCACTCCAAGAAAGCTCAGAGGACTAGTGAATTCCTTGCTTTTATTACAAAAATGGGAATGATCACTTTGATCAAAATGAAAAAAGTTTGCTCACACTGCATACATGAAAAACTCTAAATACAAAAATCATCCCAAACACAGTTTGTGCTTTTTAAAAAAGAATGCAACATCATTTTGCACTGCATTTTAATTTTTGACCCCCACACAGAATAGAAAATACATATTGCAGCTTGCAAAGGCTGCCATCGTAATCTGGAGTTTCAGTCATGACAACATAAACAAAGCGGTCTGGGGTTTGCTCACTGGGGCATGGAAAAGATCTCGTGATAGAGCAGGTCGTGTCGTTTTGGCTGGAGAGCAGAGCAGGAGAGGACAGCCTTGCTCCTGCACTGGCAGCCCTCCCGACCTGCTTGTTTCCTGCAGCAGCCGTGGTGGCCAACACTGGTCAGCGGAACGGCTTTGGGAGGAAAAAACCAAAAAACCTACAGTTTTACCAATTAAGTCTATGGAATCATTATGAGACTGAAAAAAATTCTTCAGATAGCTCCATAAATTAGTGCAGGGAGTTAAAAAAAATGCATTTACGGTAAACTAGAGTTGTACAGAGATACCATTTATCAGTTACCAGCGCACAAATCTTGCTGCACGCATACCCTGTGAACATCAGCTCACTTCACATGCAAAAGACCAAAAAGCAGGTATTACGACAGTTCTTTCACATCCCTAATTTAGAAAAATATATTTTTTTTTATTCCATCTTTGTTGAAACTGCAGCACAGTGAACTTCACTCACTCTTCAGATCAAGTTGGATGATAATACTGTCCGTAATTCCATGCGTTCTGGTAATTGTACTAGGAAAAAAACAAACGAACATGATGACGTAAGTCAGACTGCCCAGGCTCCGCAAAGGATGCCCGATAACAAGCTAGCTATCATTCCAGAAAGGCACAGGTAAGTTTACCCTTCGGGAATTTTAACAGTTCTGAACAGAGCGGCCAGCGTGGCTACGCCAGCATCGGCGTTCCCGTGCCACACACAGAATGTTCAGGTCTTGGGACCTCTTCACCGAGGCTTTGCATGCAGCCTGTACCTCGGTCTGGTACCAAGGGTGGAACAAGCAAGGGTGTTCCTCTGCAGTGCAAGACCCATGAACTCCCAGCCTCCTTAAAGGTCCGCTGGAAGTCAGCTTTGTTACGGAGGTAAAACAAGTGTGGTTCAGTTGCAAGTCCAGGGCCAGGTTTGTACCAAGGGTCAGCACAGAGGCTGGTACTGTTGCCTGTAACATTTTTAGTTGCTTAATAAATATGCATGTGGCAGGTCTTCAAACACGGGACAGCTCAGAGGTTCACTCTTGCTCTCCTCAGGTCCCCTCTGTGGTACCTGCTTTATGGCTCCTCGTCACTCCCCTTTCAAGTCTCATAAGAGGGAGGAAAAAGGGAGGGAGCAGAAGGTAAGGGAAGCATGAACTGTCTGTGTTCTAGCTCCATGTCCACTATTACAGCGTGCCCCACAAGATGGGAGAGCCAAGGCAGACGGCTCAAGTGCCCCCGCACCACTCCCTTTGAAGCCATCAGTTTGCAGCTAGCAGAGACCATCACTGAGACAGGTTCCATGGTCTTACTGCAACCAGCTGTACCCCAGCTGAGCCTAGGTAGGCATTCAGCAGCGTAATGTTCTTGGGGTATCATGAACAAATGTCTCCATTCCCTCAGAAAGTGTTTGTCTGCTATTCTCGAGCAGATTGTGAAATGCACAGGAGGCAGAGAGTGATGGAGTTACCACGTCAACCACAGGACTGAGATCTTCATCAACACTGCAAGTCTGCCATTCCCACAGTTCTACGTTTGAAAACTTGGGGCATTTTTCCTGCTAGTGCCGAGCAGAGTTACCCCATGCTGGCTGAGACACCTTTTCACCGCCTGGCTTTGCAAAGAACACTTGACCTTGATGGGGGCAATTCCAAGCTGCAGTTACACAGCAGCCGGTTTGCGTCCCATCTGCAAACACTGTTCTCACTGGCTTGATAGGCTCCTTAAAGGCTGAATAAGTTTTCATTAAACCGCTTCAGCGAAAGTTTCAGTTGGACCTTCTACGATTCACAACCCGGAAGAGTAAGCATTCCAAGCCTGCAGCGCGCAACTCTCATCCCAGCTGAGGGGGCACCAGCAGTCCCCACCTTTACCAGTACTAATCTCGTACATAAAGGCAGGTGTTGAAGCTCTGGCTTTACAGCCTGCCCCTTGGACAAGTCAGAACACAAAACGGACTGTCAGTCTAGAAGCAAGCAGAGCGTGTGCTGGAGGTTGCTGCTGCCACAAGCAAGAAGAGGAAACCAAGGTATGATGTTACTGATTCACTCTTTAAGCCCCTATAGGGGACAAAGTGAAATGCCATGCAAGAATAGCCCCAACGGACAAGCTATTGAACAGACTGATTTTGCATGCACTATGTACCAGTGCAGCAGAACCCATACCAAGACGTTACAGGAACTACTAGTTGGAGAAAGTAACTATCAAAACGCACAGTAAATTGGCATCCCAAGGTAACTCTCCTGGGCAAAACGCCCCAGCACAGAACAGATCTATTGCCCTTCGCCAACAACGTCCCCAACTGCTGTCATGCTTCCCTTCACATGAAGAGCTAGCTACCAAACTGCTCATCTTGCTCCACGCTACAGAGAAATATTTTACACTTGCATAATAGCCCCAAGAGGAATCAACAAAGACAAGAGCTAAATTTTTACTCCAAACTTTCCTCATCAGCTGACACTGGGCCACAGAGAAACGTCACTGGGAAAACCACAACGTGCATATATTCAGAATGCGCGTGTTGAATGAAGGAACCAAAGCATGCACCTACCTGGTACCAGGCGTTGTAGTTATACGCTGCCTGATTGACTTGCATGTCTCCATCCATCATCTGTGCTGATGCCAAAGTTGGGTCGTCTGTGAGCATTTTCTTTTCATCCGGCTCCTCTGATCTGTGAAGTTAATATTTGCTGGTAAACGGTATCTTAGATTAAATTCTGAGCATGTCTTCATGTGAGAAATGTTATAACGGATAAGGGTAAGTATTTTCAGACTTGGTGCCCTGTCCAAACAGGGTAACAGAATTTGACTCAGGGAGGGACAGCAGTATATTGTGCTTCAGAACAATAGTCTGGTTTTTAAATTGTCCCGGTGCTCAAACAGAGACAGCAAAAGCATGTTTCTGCTTAGAGACTGAGTTATTTTTATCAGTACCATTTAATTTTTCTGTGATACATAATACAAAAAGTTATTTTTCAATAAATCCATTTACAAATATTTTAGCCAACAGTACAGCTCTGTGTAGTATATACTTTACATGATTAAAAGAACAGTGATGATGTTCTTGTAAGCAGTAGGTTTACAGCTGAAAAACATGTATATATATTCATAGATTAAAGAAAAAAAAAAGTCTCTGAGACTGTTCTCTGAAGTATTTTTAAAGCATTTCCAAAGTGCTTTGTATCAGCTACAGTTCAGTGTGGTGCGTGTTCCAGCTACCCCACAGTGCATCATCTATCAAGTTAGTTTATACCCTCAGGTGAACAGACTTCCTACCCGTTCTCTGCTCTCCTTTTTAAAGAATCCTGCTCCTTCAGAAGTGCTTGATGTTCATCGTAGGCATCCAAAAGCCTGAAGCAGACAAAAAGAAAGCTTTGCTCACCGTTTTCATGTAAACATTTTAAACGCACAAGCAACCATTTTAAAAAGTCTACTTCAAAATAAAAATACAAAAAAATTCTTAAAACAAACTCAATCATAATCAGATTTTAATCAGTGATCCACCATGAAGATGGGAAAGCTGAAAAACTTAATTTGAAGGGGGATTCCACAATGCATAGTGAAAAATTTTCTGCGAGTGCAGAAATTCCCAACTTGCTCAACTTTTAATCAGACTTCACGCAGTTCTTCTGTAAAGTTTCTTTATAAAAAAGTTTTCTAAAACTTATTTGTGATACAGCCGCTTCTTCCAGTGATTGCATTCCCTCAGCTGCGTGTTGATGCCATCCATAGCAGCACTGACATTTAGGAATCAACATTTCTTTAAATACTGGAAATGAGTATTTTACAAAATTGTAACAATTCCAAAGTAGCACCTTACAGCCTTTTCCCAAACAACGTGGGAAGCGTAGGTGTATTTAACACAGCACAAAAGAGTCATATTATTTAAATATCAAGTATAACCATATATTGCTGAGTGAAAGAGTAATACTTCTATTTCCTAGGTAAAATTCCCACTAATAGCTAAATACCATTTCATCTGCTGTGTACCACAGTTTACAAGGTATCACATGAAAACCGCTGCTTCTGTTAATATCGCTCTTTGTGAAAACCGTTTCTTGTACTTATTCTGTGCTCTAGTATTATTTGGGAACCAAAAACTTCATTTTGTTTGGTCTACCTAGGACCCCAAACTTGCAACACTTGGCTGCCACGCAAGTTGGAATGGTCAGAGTCAGCAGAAATTAAGGACAGTTATTGTTAAAAAAACATACAAAGCAGAAAAACTAACTCATGGTTAGTCCTTCCAAGTTACTTAGCTGCAAAATGTAAATAAAAACAAGAGCTTTTTTTACAATAGAGAATTAAGAGGAAAAAAGTATATCTAGTATTTAATTAAGCAGTTGTACTGATCCTCCCACATAAGCGTACAGCATTGTTAATACTTCTCAACGTAGAAAAATCAAATCAGTGCAGTTTTGGAAACCTCAAGCAGCAGCTCACAGGGTATGGAGTATCAAATTATACCTGTGTCACAGAACACTTTGCATTCTCTTCGAGAAACATCCTCCTTTTTAAGGCTTAGCAAGAGAAAACTACAGTATGAAGTTACAGGCAGCGTAATTTTGCTCTGTGAGATATTTCATTAAAAAAAGGGGTAATTTTCTGAAAAGATATTCCTGTTTAAAAACAGGAATTTGGTTTAGAAAAGCAGCTATCCCTCAGCAAAGCACTGATGGCACAAAAGAAACAATTTAATGGATGCCACTAACCCTACCCCTTCCCTACTACTTTTACAAGCACTCTTTCGGTGACCCTAGTTTGGCCATTGCACAGATTACATCTTACTTGTTTACATCAGAACCAAAATCTTCAAGAAATTCCACTTTTCGCTGAGAAAACGTAATCCTCATTTTTATAGACAACGCGCCATTGACAGCTTTATCAAAACAGCTCAAGATGTTTTCTTCATTTTGCTTGAGATCGCCACTGTACTCCATTTCAAGTAAGTTGAGATACAGTTTCGTATTTTCCTGTTCAAAAGATGTATTAGAAGTTGTACATCGTAGGTCATGTTAGGTTTTTAACGCTGAATGTATGTCTACCGATGCATACCAGAACATTTACATCATAAATACATGCTAGAATAGTGAATAAAAAGATTTTCTTTTTACACTGGTCATCTTTGACCTGGTTTGTTTCACAAATAGATTAGAAGCGATCTAACACTACAAAAACAGATGTCACACTTGGCTAATAGTAAGCTAACAGTATTTGGAGTGCCAAACATTTCTGCGGTTATACAAAACGATCTACAAGTACTGCCTACACGATCAGTTTTGTTCACCTTGAGATGTGAACACGCCTGTAATATTTAAGATTCTAAAAAGGAAAAATGAAGGTAGGAAGCACATTGTGCTTCTGATGAAAAAAAATTTGCAAACTTCCAGATTTGCAAGCTGCAAATACGGCAACATCAGTTTAGAGGGACTGGTGTCTCCATGCAGTAATGAAACATTACATACAGTTACAGTTCCTGTCATCACTGTTGCCATATTTTAAAAAAAAAAGGTTCAGAAAGAGAGAAAAATACCAGGATTTTTTTTTTTTTTTTTTTAAAAAGCCAAAGAGGGAACACATACTTTGTCAATTTCTATGGCTTCTGACAGCACTTTTCTTGCCTTTGGAAGATTTTTCTGTACTTTGAAGAGGTGTCGAGCTAATTTGATGGCATAAAACGACGATTCGCTAATTGATTTGGCATTCCTAACAGCCTCTTCAAGCAGGTGTTCAGCTTCTTCCATGTTTCCATGTCTGCGTTCTAAGCTTACTCTTCGTAAGCGAATCATTGCTAGCCCTAGAATACACTCTTCAAATGTTTTCAAGATTCTTCTTGCTTCATCGATGTTGCCTAAAACACCGGTGAAGATGCTTTAAGATGTGAGACATCCAACAGCCTCTTAAAAACAATCCCTCCCAGCAAAAACTAACGTTGCTCTTACCCTGCTGCTCCTCAAAGGCAGCCCACAGCATGTGAACCATTGGTTTCTTAGGAAGATGTATTGTGCAAGCCCTGCTGTAGACATGCCTCACTCCTTCAATACTATGATTCTCCATGTATTTGGCATACTATGGTTGAAAACAGAGTAGAGATTGAAAAATTTAAAGCTTGTATTTGCCTTTAAAAACATGACAGAACGATAAAATTCTTTTGTTTAAACCCATTCAGCACCTTTATTGAACCACTAGACTAGTTTCTGTAAGGAAGGACGTAGAGAGGCAACGAAGTTGGCATATGCAGCAGTCAAATCTGGTTGCAAGCAGACCATCTCCTAATGCAACAGATATAGTTATACATGAACAACATTCCACAAGAGTACAAAAGGTTAGTCACTAGATCAATGTATGCAATCAGTAGGAGGTAGGTGGTAAACCGCTTCCCTTACCTTAATCCAGAAGTCCTCATAGAGGGCACATGAAATAACACATCTTTCAAAGAGGACCACAACTCGTTCGTGAGTGCCATTTTCTATCTCAAATTCTAAGTACTCTTTCCAGTTTTTCAGCTGAATTTTCTCCAGAGGTTTTACATGAAAGTAAGGCCTCTTTATCTGCAAGAGTCACAGTACGGCAACTTATGAGCAATAAGCATACCACCAAGTTGCTTAAAAAACCCAACCAAACAGCCACACGTCATTGAAGTAGTGCCATTTAAATAAACAGGACTTCAGAATGATAGATCATCATCTGTTCAATTAAGTCTGCTGGGGTTACCCAAGTATTGGTCAAGAGATTTTGCTGACAATTACATTCTAGGCTAGTAACTTGTTCTTCTAGAAAGCTTTTTCAGTGCAAGTGTTTACAGCAGCTGAGAAAGAACTCAGCGCAGTTACTCCCTTGCAAACCTGCAGTCACGACGTAACAATGACATTATAAACAACAATTAATATTGTCCACATACATACAACTGAAGTACCTCCTATTGTACTAGCGCATATCCTACAAATTAAATTCAAAGTTTGGTTGAGAATCATGACAAGGAAAGACAGAGCACTGAATTGAACTTCATATTAAATATTTACATTAAGCTGATTATTCCAAGAGCTAGCAAGATTGCATTTTTATTGATGACTACAAGAGGAGCTGGGTGGGACAGAGTTCAGCACAGAAAATTTAAACATTGCTTTCAACTAAACATAGCAAAGCATCCTTCTGGAGATCTTTTGCTTTTTCTCTCCCTCATCTTTAATTTTTCCCGATTATTTCTCTCCTGTACTGCAATTCCATCTCTGATACAAATACACACAAACGGATGAAGAACTTGGGATAATTAAGGAGTAACATTCAATTCTTCAAGGCCAGCTGAAATTTAAAGCCAATCACCCCCTTCAGGCTCCTCACTGAACTCTGCTACCGAACCCAATACTCTCTTTCCATTTTGACAAATTCACAGGTACATTGTTCCGGCTAAAATAACCGTAAAACAGGTCTAAGGGGTCTCCTTCACTTATGTGACATCTGTTGCCTATCTACTTCATTTCTGTCCATTACAAAGACATGTTTAACTTTATATTTCAAACTCCTCATAGATCCAACATGTTGGTATCTACAGAGCAGATATACTCTCTTGGTAGAAAAAGTATTGATTCTGGCCAGGGGCAAGAGAGGACACCCTGGTCCCTAGACATTTTCTGCAGCATGTCCACAGTTTTAGCATTCTCCCAAGTTTCAATAATTCGTAGCTTAAAGTTCCCTGAGCCAAGAATACCTATACTCACATAACCATCTTCCACAATACATCAGCATATTTGAGCCTCGCCTACTCTAGGGACATGCCTTGTGTGCTCTCCTTCCTCCAACGACAGGTTAACTGGTACAAAAGTGACCCTGCAACAGGTTGGACTGGTAACAGCACTTCAGGCTGCTGTGTAACAGAAAGGGTAACCCGCCCCAGTTAGACCACGCTCTAGTCTACGGCGCTAGGACTGGCTACGTACTATGTTTTCGAGTTCCTTTGTTGGACGAGGCCAGATACCTTGTAAGCCAAAGTGCAATAAGCAACACAACAGTTCTGACATCAGGTAACCCGTTAAGGAGTCTCTGAAAATCTGTCCCAGTTGTTTAACTACAATGTACTTTTTAAAAAGAAAGTAAATATAAAAGAACCACCATGTTATACAATATGGTACTTGCCAGGAGGAAAAAAAAAAAATAAAAAAGAGACCGAGAATTAAAAACTCAAGTCGTTTTTTCAAAAGTAAACAAACTTAATTCTACATAGAAAAAGTTCTATATTTGCAGTGATCAAATGATTAGTTTAATTAATACTTTTAATACATTATACATAGGAGCTGCATGTTACGATGGCTACTTTTGGAAAACAAAAGTTAACTGATTTCAGGTTTAAAAGTGTAATGTTAAAATACAAAACCATATAAATTTCATTCTCCTTTTAGGATAGGCTTACCTTTTCAATTAGAATTACCTTCACTCCCTTATTATTTTGCAATGTCCCACATGCATAAAGCAGTGCTAACTTATGTAGCACTTCACACATGTATATTTAAAGACTGCTTAGTAAATAATACACCACCTTGCCCCACTCCAAATACTGCTTAAAGATTTTTAAATTGTCAGATGACAGAGCTGACCTCACAAGTTGCCTTTTCACAAGAAAAATGGCAGAGAAGTGAAACTTTATCTTTGTTCAAAGCCCCACAACAGTTTAAATCGTAAGGCCTAACTGTTACCCAAAATTCCTAGTCTTACGTTCAACACTCTTGCACATGCTGCCTTACATAGAAAAAAGAAAACTTACCGCTTCTTCAAACGTCCACCTCTTACTGACTTCATGTTCATTGTGGTTAAACATTTCTTGATGAATCTCAATGATTCTGTGCCTCATGTTTTCTATCTCGGTAATTAGCTAAAACATAATTTAAAAAAAATGTAACACAGGTAGACACCGCATCACCTTTGTAAATGCATTTTACGGTGACAGTAAGATGCATGAATTAAAGTATCACAGGTGCATTAAATGTTACCCTGAACAGCTAGGGGAAGGGATGGGATGCTGCCTTGATGGTGCCTTGGCCCTCAGTGCAACCCAACTGAACTGGGTTTCTATCTGAAGTTTTGCTCTTGTGTTACAGATGATTGAGATTTAATGTGAATTTGGATCCAAGTCAAACTTGGTTTCGGTATCTGTACGTTTTCACAGTTCGCAATTCCTTTGGATGGCTCCAAGTTTTTGTAAGCCTTTGAAGGCTATGAACCTGCACAGACCATTGCTGATGAAGAGCCTTCTTAGACCACAGTTCCTAACCTGTTAACTGGAACAATTAATATTCATTCCTAAAGTTTTGTAGATCACTTCTTTAATTTTTTAACTCCATGTCTTTAATACCTATGAAAACACTGGAAAGATATGTCCTGTAGACAAAAGCAGTTATCACGTGAGCCAAAGAGCAATGATATGCAAGAGAACTATGGGAACACCTCAGCTACAGATATATTAAACTGTCTGCAGATAAACTCGTCTTTTAGCCACAGAGGAAGGCAAGAAATGCCAGTGAACATCCTCTGCGTATGTACCTTGGCAGGGTCAGTTATATCTTCAGTACCAGAGGGCAGGTCGTCTCCAGGTTGTGCATCCTCTCCACTATGGCCGTTCACAGACGCTAGTTCTCTGCGCAGCTGAACAAACTGCTCAGTAGTCAGAAGGTCTCGAGGCAAGTTGTTCTGTATATGTTCCTTAAACCTAAGAATAGTTAGAAACAAGTCAACACAAATTTGATGTTTTATGTTGCAATATTCTGCATAACCAGAGCACAACAGTAAATCCTAGCAGGGTTCTGCATTACTTTATTGATCTAGAGCAACACTGAGAACGTGACTTCTGACAACATACAGACAAAATGCAACTTCTACTACCTATCAGACTTCAAAGGCTTCACATTTCAAAGAGAAGTGAAAGGATGATGAACTTCAGTGGCAAAGACAGACCACCTGCCATGTAAAATTGATGGCAAAGGACAAGATCAGTTTCAGAGGAAGATCCTTACTTCCAAAACCAAAAGATCTGTAGAAATTATGGGGAAGACTGGTGCATAATTTAACTAAGGCTTCTGGTTCCCTCTTAACCTCTCCATATTAATGCAGAATTCTACTATGTAAAACTTAACCAAGTATTTCTCTTTAGTCAATTAAATTAGTGTTTCACCACAGATGAGCATTGCATGAGGAATTAGAGTTGAAAACTGCTCATTCTGATTTTTCAAAGACATCCGCTCTCTTCTTCCTCACAATTCCAAGGCCTTCCTTTACTCCACAGCAGAATTTGTGAATTTATCTAAAACCAAATTCCTAAAATGCGTACCAGTACTTTAAAACAATCAAACTGTGTAAGTACATAAGTAGTAAGTAAGTATATAAAACTCAGTAACTATTTCAAGCTCTTGTTCTGAGTGAACATTTTCACATTTACAGAAGTAGGTTAGCGTGTGCTTAAGAAACTCATACCGTTAACTAAACCTTTGTTTCCTCTTTACCTCTGGAAATGATGACTGTAGAGTTGTGTTGGAATTCCAAGGATGCGGTCGTATATGGACGTAACTTCCCTTAGGTTTCCCTGTTCATTTTCCCAGTTTATATACATTTCCCATAGCCTGTCAGAACGGAAATCTGTCCCAGCAGCTAAAACTGCATGTTCATAGGCTCTGAAAAATGAAATAATTTTACAGGTGTTTCTGGATGTGGTGACAGAACAAGGAAGAAAAGTTCTGGCTCTTACTTATTTAAAGATGATGAGCGTCCTCATTTACTCGCAACCACGCTTATATTCATTATTTAAATTCTTCACAGTATTTTCTAGATATCTGTAGCAAGATCTCTAGAATTTCAGAAAGTTCACGCTCACTTTTTTTTTTTCCTCCAGCACTACCACAACAGAACAAATAAATGCAACAGAAAAAGCCACTTGCAGGAACACAAGATATTAAGAAAATACAAGATCATTACCACTTACATCTTGTAAAGATTCTAAAAACACTACTTTAGCAGTTTAACACACAAAAGCTATGTATCAATCATGCAGCTAGAAGCTGCTTCAGTAAAAGTTCAGTTAAAGCTTTGGGTCAAACTTTAGTCCAACCTCTTAGTCTAACCAGGACCACTGCCAGCAACAGATGACGACAGACACATTCTATCCATACCTTGAAAACCTCCAAGGAATTAAATTCCCAAAATTCTATGGGGAACCTGTTCCAGTGCAGCACTAAGTATTTCCTAACGTCTAATCTGAAGCTCTCAAGTCACAACTTTTGACCCTTGTACCACATTGTATTGTCTACCCCTTCTTATGGAATTTGGCTCCATCACCTCTTAGAAGTCCTTAAAGTAACTGCAGGCTGTTATTAGCTTGCCCCGTAGCTTAAACATACTAACCCGATTACACTGCTATACAACTACACGTATGGGCTTCGTGTATCACTTAGTCTGCTTTCAACTTACCCTCGAATAGTACTGTTAGTTTCAGGATCAGCAGGGTCCAAGGTCTCCTTTAAGAAGTTTATATAATGTATCCAAAGATCAACACTAAGAGGAATTGCCTGAAGCCCTCTGCGATAAACCTATGAAGAGAACGTGAACTGTACTTCAAATACTTAATGGCGTCCTAATAGAGAGGCAACACTGTGTTATCCGGTGAACCTTAGAAATACTAATTACTGGAATTTTGTTTAAATAATCTACCATTACCATTTGGGTGGAGGTTGGATAGAACATGGCAATGTTCTGATCTCCACGTGCAGAGTCTTGATCTTCAAAGCGCAGCGGTCCCTGCATTCTGACCAGGTTGTGTGGGCAGGCTTTGGGGTACAGACCATAGGGCACAGACCCATTAGAGCATCATTGACAGCGTCTGACCAAAAATGCAATAAGATGTAGCAATTGTGACCAGCAAACCAACTATATTGTTTTGAAAATGAGTAATAAATGTAAGTGACAGAAAAGCCCTGCCCTACTTGTTAAGCTGCAGTGTAATAGAGAGGCTTGCACTGCAAAGCTTGACAAACTGTAGAGGTTTAACGCACCTGCCAACAAAGAGAAAAAACATTAGCTACAAATGCCACAGACGTGACAAGTGCAAACAAAATCCCTACAAACCTGACCATACATGGCAGGTACTGGCAGCCAAATGACTTGCAGTAGGTTAGTCATTATTTGGCTAACAGGACCAATGGCAATAGCTGGGCCCAGCTACCTACATACCTCATCAGACTGTTTAACGTTGTCATGTCGCTTTTCAAGGTCTGCATACTTTTTCCAATATCCATAGCAATATGGATAATGCGTGAAAAACCTGTCAAATGCTTTCCTGGCAGCTGGTAAGTGGTTCTGCAAGAAATACACAATAAAAGCAATGAATCCTTTCCTTAAAAAAACCTTCACGTTATTTCAAAAACAACTACTGTTTTAATTTTGTCTTAAAAACTATTGGTTTTATTTTGTGGTCTCTGCTGATGACACTGGCAAGGGCAACTGTCTTAAAACAGTACCTATGAAAGCCTGATGCACAGTTCTAGAGCTGTCACTGGAAGATCCATGACTTGTTTTGGTTTTCTTTGTTTAATTCTGGAAGGCTAAGGAAAAAGGGAGCATGTACTAACCTCCTGCTCTACATACTGTAGTAGATATACCCATCCTGTGAAATCCTGGGGATTGTCCTCTACTACTTTCCAGAACTTGTCAAAATCTGGAGGGAAGCAAGCCTCAATATCTGTTGTCTGTAAACTTTCAATATTTGGAATTTCACTCTCCTGTGTGTTCTCTTCATTCAAGTCAGGGGAACTATCAGGTGATTGTTCCATCTCAGTTACACTCATAATTTCTGTACTGAAGTCCATATGCTGTTCTTCTGTTGCTGTTTCAGCGCCATTGTCTGTGCCGTCATTGCTTACAGTCGGCTTCTCCTCCTCTGCATTATCTGCGTTCTCCATAGCTGAGGTTACTGCTGTTTCGTAGTACTAGATCCTGTGGAAATAAAAAGATTCAGTATTCATGCAGTGAAGGTTCAAGCAGAACTTGGGCGTGAATTATCAGCTAAGCGTCTCCCAAGTGCTTCAGGCATTCACGTATTTCACCACAAACCTTCATCAATTAGATCTGCTTCGCGCACAAACCTTATTCACAATTAAAAACAATGTTAATAGCAGTCATGTATTTTAACATCCGCACGTACAAATCACCGTGGTTTTTCTAAAAGATGACCACAAGTAGCTATCGAGGTATAAAAGTGAACCAATACAGTTTTCCTGTATGAGTCTAGTGGACGTTTACTCCAAATAAAGAATTATGTTCAAATTTATTCAATTCTCCTACTTAGTACAAATCAGTAACTTCTTTGCAAAATAAATATGTGTTAAAATGTACCCTCAACGCCTAGCTGAACTGGCTTAAGCGATAATTTTGCAAAGGGAAGAAATACTATCAGCAGTAGACTCGGTCCATATTAACGATGCCTATATAAACCAACCAGCACCAGGGGGCCACAAAAATGTTTAGGCTAGCCCTTACACGCAGTCACTCGCTCCCACACACCACTCTCATGTCAGGAGTTCCTCCTGCCCCTCAGGACAGACTCCATCTTCCTCCCACTCTTCATCTTGATCTTCCTGCCAAACGCTGCTGCCCAGCCCTACCCTCCTCCGCAAACGCCAGTCCAGCCTAACTCGGCTGCATGCTGCTCTGCCAAACAGCGCTCGGCCTCAACTGATCTCAGCCTTCATCGCCTGAAGCCTGGGCGTGAGGCACTCAGCTGAACCTTCCCCACGTTCAAGCTAGATCCTAATGACTAACGGATTCTAGGTAATACAATACCCATGTAGAATACAATAGCTCTTAGCTGTGAATATATTTTGGATGAAGAACGGCACGAGACCATCATCCTGAAATGCACTGTGGCAACTGCCACTCCTATTTCCCTTCGGTTCTCCTCAGAGGAGATAACAGCAAATAAGTTTTGCATTAAAAAAAAAAAAAGTCCCCACCCCATTCTGTATCTCCAGAATTCTTTCCCACTGAAAGCCTGAAAAGAGAACAAACAGACCACTTGCTTTCATTTCAACAAATACATCGATAAGCCATCAATAATAAAGTTGGGGAAAAAAAAACTGACAGAAAGGAAAAACATCTATACCCTACCTTCAGCAGCTTCAACGTGTGATAACAGTTCACGTTTTCCTAGGAGTTCACCAAGCCAAGTAACTTGGGCATAGTGTTAAAAGGCCCACGTGCTCTACTCTGCAAGTTTTCTAATAACTGTTTTTTAAAAGTAATTATTTCTATTCTCCATCGTATACATCACCTAGCAATCATATAAATACAATTTCTTTCCTTTAAGGTAAACAGTTCATAATTTTATAACTTTATATGGTAACTGTTCATAAAAATGAACAGTTCATGCCATTCAAAAGTCACACAAACATGATGTGACTGCACACAGCACTATACTGCTTTTGTTCTACAGGAAAAGAGGACGCTCGTGTAAGATGAACAGTTTATTGCATTAATGGCCAGCTCTTCCCCACATCCTGGGCCACTCTAGAAAGCCTGCATCAAAAGCTGGTTTATTTAGTGCACGTTGGAGATGCATCTTCAATATTGATTTTGAGAATAAACATAATTTATAAGTTAAGAAATTAAGTATCAAAGCCATATCATTACGCCTTTACCAGTACAACATACAGAAGAGATCTGCATCATTAAAAGCAGCTGCTATCATTCAGAGCTTACCTCTGTAAAGATTACAAAATCAAGGCATAAGAGGAGCGCGTTATGCAAGCAGCAGCCCTAACACTTGAAAAAAATAGTTTAGAGGATGTTTACAGCTCTAAAATTTGAGAAAGCTAATGTAATTGTTTTTAAACATGCAATAATTTATGACCTCAACTTACTCTGGTATTTGACAGATGTTTCCCCCCTCTAGCTGATTCAGAAGATGTATTCCAGCTTAAAAAAAACCAAATCCCCCAAATCTAGCTGCCTTTCAGATTAGGGGGAGGGAAAAAAAGAAAGAGGGAGAAGTGGTACCGCATCACCTCTGCACACAAGTTTTCAAACAGAATCTACAAGCCTGTTTGACGGTTTGCTTCCAGCTGAAGGCGTTCTAGAACGTGCCCAGGGAACCGAGGCACATCCCAAACTCTTACCATAACTGAAGGCTAGTGCCGACATGATCGACCACTGAAGGCTACGGCCGACATGATCGACCCTGTCTGGTACCAAACGAATGCCCATCAATCCACGGAGCTACGAAGGTAGCAGACCCGAAGCTGATGCACACCCAGCACAACCACGTAACAGAGTAACTTAATGCCAGTTTTTACATCACTCAGGCTAAATAACTAAATAAGTATATCGGGTAACTACATGCACCAGCTTTAAATAATTTATGTCGACATATATTGTTCGGCCTGTTTCAATTAAACGTTTATTGCATGCGATACTCGTGCTTATAAATATGAATGAACTAATGGAAAACACCTAGGAAAAAATACAACCGGGCAGCACCGAGGAATTTCAAGCCTCCTCTTACACCCTTCCCTGCCCTAGGAAGAACGCTTCACAGTCCCGATAAGCAGCTGCCCGAAACCTTCTGGGGCAGGGCTGCACGGGCGTTACTGACCTGGCCCCTTCGCCGCTTCTGCCCGAAGACTGACGTTTTGGTGGCCAGAATACAGTAATAATGTAATAAACCGCAAAGCGCTCAAAGACTTTGAGCTGGCCTATTATTTGTTCAGAAATTTAGCGGCTATTACAGCATATAAAAGAGAGATAAAATTTACTCTAGCAAGCGAAAACCGCAGGCAGGCTGGTTTCTCCAGGTGCCAGGTAGCTG